TCCCAGGGTTAGATACTGATGTAGCTTTAATGCATGGTGCTCTGGGAGCAGAACACATGTGAAGAAAGCTCCTGTGGACCTCAGCTTTCTCAGCCTGCCTCTGCAGAAGTGCTTCAGCCCTTGGAGCATCTTCAGGTCCCTCCCCTGGGCTCAACCTCATGGTACTTGAGTGTATTATGTCCTCTGACAGCAGTGACCCCTGGTTGCCTGCTTGGCTGTTGGTACACTTCACATCTCTCGTTGCTTCTGTTAGTGGACAAAAAGCCTTTTGCCTCCCTCTGCACCCAGATAGGACCAGCCTAAATCACTGTCCCAGCCCACCGTAAAGAAAAAGAGACCCAGTATGCAGATGATGCTGCAGAGACAGCAGCACAGCTCCTCTTGTTATCCTGATACTTTCCTCATCATGAGCTCCACAGTGTGGTTGTCCTCATGGTGAGAAACGGCTGGGAGGAGTGAGGATCATTCCTGGCCATGCACGATCCTTGTGCAACAGCACAAGTCATCGTGTGGTTTGGCTGTTGTTATGAAGCATCTATTGAGCTGAGGATGGGCCTGGGGCGAAAGGGAGGGCCTGACTCTTTGGGTGACATTCCTTGGGTGGCTGCAGGAATGATGAAGAGGAACTGTGATGGGTGACATCCTCCACCAACTCTTTCCTGACAGGAAGTCCTCTCGTCATGGCATGGAGGAAGTTAAGAGGGATAGTACAAACTGAGCCAACCGCAAGGGAATCCTTGACCTCCAGCATGGGCTTACAGGCTCTAACTTGGTGACTTGCTTTTGTGGAACCACATGTTAACACTAAATGAGCCCATCTTCACTGCAGACAACCTGGTCCTGAGTTTGTGACTCTGAACTACACAGTCCCAATGGGTGAGTGCTCCCAGCCTGGGAACAAGCAGCAAATCCACTCTTTAGGTTAAATGTGCTGATGTATCCTATTAAACAAGAAAAACACCTCCTCACCAGTCAGTGGGGCCTTGCAGTGGTCCCGTCCCCTCCTTTTTGCTGACGTGAGTGATGGTTTGACCTTCTGCTGAGCTGGTTTAGGGAGCTAAACTGGCTCAGAAGTAACCCTCCCCCCCAAAAAAGAAGTGATTAGTCTTCACCACAGATGGTATAAGCTGGTGTTGGTGGTAGGGAGGGAATGGGAACGGGCGGTGGAGGAAGGGCAGGAACCACAACACCCTGACTTAGGTCAATTAAAACTGTTGTGGAATTTCACCCTGAGGCTTTAGTGGGATTTAATATAAGCAGCGCAGTGGCCTTGGCTTTTCGATGTGGCATGGGGAGAAACTGCACCTCCAGAGCAGTAAGGAGAAAGGAATGAGGGAAGGTGCCCGCAGATGAGAATGCCTTCAACTTCTAAAGAAACACACCACTTGGCAATTACTAGAACTAAGCACATTTCAAACGTCACCGCCTCTCGCACTGTCAGGGCATATTCATTCTGAGAAAACCAGAATGTGCTGGGCTTGCATTCTCTCTCCTCTTTTCATGAATCTGCTAACGTGTTCAGAAAAGGTCTCTTTTGAAAGCCCATATTAGAGGTGTATTAATTTTGAAAGCCCATTTTAGGGCTGTATTAGTTTTGAACCTGTCAAAATGAGCGCTTGCGTTGGAAACAGTGCTGCGGGCGCGTCTGCGTCACCCATGAAACTAAAACCCTCACCGTGGCTGTAAGCATGCTCTGTTCTGGTTCAACTTGGGTCGATTCCAGCTGAACTCAGGCACAGGCTTAATGGGCTGCACTCTCCCTCATTCACCCTCTGATTTTACTCCTTGTAACTACACTTATTTAAAGATGTTTGAAGAAACCAGGCTAAATATGGGATAAACTAAACTTCTGTTTTGCTTGTAGGCAAATCCTGTGTGTGTGCTTAGGGCTGCAGACCCTGTGGATCCATGTGTCTAATCAAAGCAGACGAGACTGCAACTCAGACTTTGCATATTTCCATGAAATATTCATGACTCTAGAAGGGAATAACCTGGGGTGAACATCATCTTTGTATGAATCTGAATGTATTCTGTATCGCTGTCAGCAACAGAGGGCCTGCGCTTGTTGAGAAACGTCTCTGCTTTGGCTCTAAGGACAATACTGCTTGTATTTGCCCAGATTCTCATTTAATTAGAAGATTTCCATAATGGGCCAGTTAAGGATTTCAGTCCCTATTTACCCCACATGGAAGCATGTGGCTGGGAAATGCCAGCTCCCAATGGAGTCAGCGTGAGTGGAAGGTGCCCAACCTCCTGAGACACGAGGCAGGTTCTTACTTGGCTACTTAATACAGACTTAAGTGCTGAACATTAATCACACCTTCATTAGATGATGCTAGCCTCTTTTTTTAATTGATTCCTTCTGAAGCCCTGTAGGTTAGGAGTGGGAAGGAAGATCAGTAATGGAACAGAAATGACCGTGATTTAGAGATTGGATTGCACACAGCTCCAGCCATGCATCAGGGTAACGAGATTCAGTCTTGTTTGGTTACAAGCACTGGAGACAGAAGCAGAAAATGGGATCCACCGAGCCAGCTCTCAGGAAATGGGGAACAATGGAGTGAGGAAATCAAATTTCAGACTGCAAGGGATATATTTATCGAGTCTTCCTTTGAATTTCTGCAGAGCTTTTTGGCATTCCCTGCGCAGCCTTTCTTCTTTCCCCCTCTATGCTTTCGGTCAGCTGCCATATGGCCGGAGGATTAGATCCCTGCGCAGCACCGTTGTTTGTGACCTATTTGTTAATGCGAGGCTGGGGTCAGCGAGAAGAGACAAACACACTTGTCGTTGCATGGTGCTGTTTCAAGTGCTCTTCCTGTTGTCGCTCACGCCGCGGCCAGACCTTTGGCACAAACCCATTAGTGGTGTGCTCAGCCCCACGTGGCGGTAGTTGCTGTGTGGGTGATATTCACGTTAGGGCTGTGGAACAGGCCCTCCTGCGGCTTCCTGGCAGCTGTTTGTCACTAGGTTAGTTGGGAGGACAACCATGGCCTGCCTTGTCGTCCCTGACATCACCCTGCAGCACTGCTCCTTACCTTCCTCCTCCTCCTTGCCATGCCTATCCCTTCCATTCCCACTCGCTGGATTTGCTGCCACTATCTGCGTTCTCCGCATGGACTGCTCTGATGCCAGCGTGGCTACCAGGGAGATGCCACAGCTACAGGCTGCTGATGCCAAACTCACGTTGCAAACAATGGCCTTAAACGCTGGCTCTGCCAACACAGCTGAAATGTTGTGGGCTGGGAATGATCTGATAGAGCAGCTGGAGTCAACATCCAAGGCGTGGTATGAGAGAGGGATGGGGCAGTGCTGGCATGGGAGGTTTTCTACCCTAGCTCCTGGGTTTGAAATCAAAGGGCCAATAGCAACAACCTCCTGTTGTTAATACAAAATGAGGACCGTAGATCTGCTGCCACAAGTCCCCCTCAGGGGATTGCCTGTAGGGATTGAGTTTCCTCTCACTGTGGATGTCCCCAGGGAGCTACCGAATGGATCATCCCTTTACAGCCTGGGTACATCCCTCCTGGTGCAGCTGCATTCACCGGGTTCCTTTACCAGTGCAGCAGGAACTGTGATTGAAGGCATTAAGGGGTGTAATAAAAAGTGCCATTCTGCTTGGCAGGCTTGTTTTGCTTGTACGAAGTGGCTTGATCTGGTTGATAGAAGAGACAGTTTGTTGACAGAGGTATGCCAGCTCTGTGCTGGGTTTGTGGATTCATACACATAGACAGACACACCTGGGATGGAGCTGGGAATGGCGAGGAAGCCACCTCCTGCTTTGGAGAGTTGCTTGTCCAGACCTGGGAGGAAGGTGGGCAGGAGAGAAAGCAGCGGGAACCATCTTCTATTTCCCATTTTCTTTTAACCAAGAGTTTTCTTCTTGTTCTTTGGAGCTGTCAGCACCTAATCATTAGGATTAATGAACGTGCACAGAAACATTAGGTTTCCATCGCTGCCGTTTTCTTCTCGGGAAGCATCTTTCAGCTCCTGCAGATCCTTTATATTATTCCACCCAGACTTATTTCTGCCTCGCTCAAGGTTAAAGCTCAGCCAGCATTGCAGCTAACCCAGAACCCTCGCCTTCCCAGCTACCAGATGGCATCCGAAGCATTCCAACTTGGAGCATTTCTAAACAAGTTGGTTTTGATGCAGTTTCCTCTGTGTTTTACTGCAGTCCCTGTTCTAATGTATTGAAACCCCAACTCCATGGCAATTTCTTCATGGGAGAAAAAGGGCTGGGCTGAGCCTGATCTGTCACTTGAAAGGCAACACCTTACGAACCGGGGCTTAGCTCTGAGTTCCCTTTGTGCTGTTACACTCTAGTAAGGCAAGATTCCTTAGGAGTTAGGCTTTAAATCACTGGCAGCACTACCCGGAGCCAGCTGTAACAGGAGCAGAGCCCTGCTCACCAGTTTCTCCCCTGACCCGCGCCAACCCCGACCATCTCCCACCAGCGACGCCCCGTTTCCTTCAATTGTCCCATGCTTTTACGATGGGAACAAATACATCCAGGAGGAACTGCAATGGGACCGCTAACCTCCTCCCACCTGCCAGCCCGGTTTAGTCATTATCCCCAGTGGGAAAGGATGCGTGCTCCAATGCCTGTCCGTACCCCCCCATCCCAAAGCCTTCCCCCATCCATAAACGCTGTTATTCCTTATTGGCAAAGGGGGAAGCTGCTGTAATCACAGTACGGAGCAAAACTTTGGTGCACGACAGCCCACCTATGTTTTGGTGGGTTGCTCCCACCAGGATGCTGCTCCCCTCAGCACCCCACAGCCATTCCCTTCCCTCGCAGCCGCAATGGCCCCGCGGAGGAGCCCGTCCGCTCTCCCACCACCCTGCCCGGCCTGGCTGTGAGGAGGGAGGGATGGAGGGGCCGGGCCGTGGAGCAATGTCCGGGCTGCGGCCGCCGCCGCCGCCTCGCTCCGTTCCCTCCCGCACCCCCCCCTCGCCGCGCCCGGGCCGGGGCCGCGCCTCGGGGCCGCGCGCGGCCGCCGGTTCCGCCTCCTCCGCCACCTCCCCCCGGCCGCCGCCATGTTGGATGGTGCGTGTGGGTGTCAAACGCAGCCAGCGGCGGCGGCGGCGGCGGCGGCCGGGAACCGGGACCCCCCCTTCCGCGTGTCCCGCGGGCCCCTCCCCGCTCCTCCCGCAGGCAGCACCAGGTCAGGCCGGGAGTTGCGGGGCGCTCGGGTGCGGGACGGGGATCGCGAACGGACCGGACGGCGGCGGCGGAAGAGCCTCCCCCCGCCTTTCCCCTCAGCAGCGGGGTGCGGGGTGGGCGCGGGAAGGGGCCCCCCGGGGCTCGCCTCGGGCAGGGAGCGGGACCGCCGGGAGGCTGCGGGGTGAGGCCGGCTGCCGGTGGGGTCATGGGGCCGGTGGGGTGGGGGGGTTACCGGGGTTAGGGGGTGGGGGGGCAGCCCCGGCGGGGTCCGGGGTGTCCTTTGTTGTCGCCGTTGGGTGGGCAGCGGGTTACTGCCCATCATGGCAGCCCGGCGGCGGGGCTGTGGAGCGGGGAGCGCGCCTCCGCGGCCCGGTGCTGCCGGCGGAGGTGGGGGGAACACACACACGATCGCCACGGGCCTTCGCCTCAGGGCCGGAAGGGTTTTGGCCGCCAGCCTCCGGCCCGAAGTTTGGGCCTGGCTTCCCGGGGAAGCCGATGGGGCCGGGCTGAAGCCGCCGGGGCTGCGGGGATGGCGGCGGCCTGCTCCGGTGGATGGGGGGGACCAACGGGGGGGGGGGGGGGGTCCTGGTTCGTTTTGTTGTCCCCAGGCCTTTGCGTTATTAACCTTAATTATGTCTCTTTTTGTCTTACTGTATTATTTTCAGTCATCGAGTCGGTTTGGAGGGTGTGTGGTAGTGATTTTAGTAATTTTAAAGGCTTTATTTTATGTCTATATATATTTATTATATTTCAGTCTTTACCTGCAGTGCCTTTGATGCTACAGATAGGTCTTGGAAAATCAGTGTGCTGCATTACATTAAGCATTATTGTTGCTGGGAATTAGACAGGAATTATCACAGGCTATCTCGAATGGAAGTTTCCTATTTTAAAGCCTTATGGCATCTTGGTAACGTTGGGTCTCAGTTTGAGTTGGCCCAGGGGTATATAATGCTTCCTCCCTATGAAGTGTGGTATCATCACCAATGTGAAAAGCAAAGTTATATTTAACATTTAAATGTATTAGACCCCTTTCTTTCTCTTAATCTGCTGAGAAAACACCCTGGATGATACGCACATGCACATTTTCAACAGGAGGCCTGAAATACTCGCTCAGATCATTGAGGTGTGTTGCGGATGTTGTGGACTGTGGAGGCTGACTTTGGGAGTTCAAAATGCAAATCAGGCCACGAGATTAAGTTTGATTATTCTCGCCACTGAAAGACGTGGTTTATGGTAATATGGAACTCTTGCATAATTCCAGTGTGTTACTGTGTTTTGTGGGAGACAAGGTCATGGAAAACTGGATTGTTAGGATGTAAAATGGGGGCTGTTAGGATGATTTTTGATTAGAAATATATTGTAATACCTTTAGCAAAATACAGCCTATATAGGAAGCAGTTCTAAATATGTTTGTTTTGGCTTATTCTTGGATCCATTCTTTTCAGACAAACTCATGTGTAGTGTTCTATTGTGAATAATTTAAGCTTTTGGATACATTTTCTTTTATAAACTCAAAGCAGTGGTAAGCTCGCCAGCTAGATTTGCAGAGATAAACTTCCAAATATTAAATATTTAACTGTGTTATCAAAAATTATCAAGTACAAATGAACCATGAGTATGCATTCCTGAAGACAAATTCTGATAAGGCTGAACTGACTCCAAGTTACACATCAGGAAGTTTGACTTAGGGGTGCTGATTGTAACTTCCTTGATGCCATGAAGTAACTATGTGACATCACCCAGGAATGACGATGGTTCTCCTATGCTTTGCCTTGTGTTGATGAATGAGGATGAATGTCTGCCTTTAAGAAATGAAATGCAACGAGATACTAACAGGCTGGACCTCTCTCTTTAGCAGAAGTAATTGACCTGTTCCCTAGGTAGGAGTGAAGTAATGTTGGAGAATACTCAGGCAAGAGAAGTTACCTGAGGGTCCTGTCCTAATAGAGGATGTATAGACAGCCAGACCTGGCTATCAGGTAGCCTTGTCTCAAATACACATCACAGTGGATGTAACACTTGCATTGTTTTCACATCCATTATTCTTAGTCATTTTTAATGACTAGTTGACAAACATCTGATGTCCAGTGCAAGCAGTGCTATGTAATGTGATGAGCATAAATGAATTCAGCTTGTAGTGACTGCAGCATTATTTACATAACTGGTTAATCATGCTAATTTTGTTCCAGCTGTCAGCTATTTGATTGCTTTAAAACTTGGAGCTTTTAAGAAGCCTCAAATCTTGGAGCACTGCTGTGAGATGCCAAAAGGCCTAATTTGTTACTTCATAATACTGCTGATAGTCTTTGCTTGATACAAAATTGGTGTTTTGTTTTTGTGCTTGAGTGTTGTTTTTTGAGAGAGCGGAATCATTAAATGATAATCTGGTTTAGGAGAAATACATTACAGGGGAGTTATTCATGATGATCTTGCTTTTTTTAGGTCTTGTATGTAGGATGGGGAAATGGCTATTTGTTTTGCCTGGTCTAGAGGAATATAAGTTACTCTAAAATCTTTATTTAATGACTTGTACTCAGGAAACAACTTTCAGCTCTTCCAATGCCATATTTGCAGAGCGCTAAGTTGTCTCTTGGGATCTTGCTAATAGAAAATGAAAGGTGGCTGGTTTGTCTGAATATCTGTAATGTGCTTTTTCCACTTTGCTTTGCTCTGATCTGAGCAGAGAGAGTATCGAAACGTACCAGTATCCTGCTGTCTGAAGTGCTTCAAAGAACAGCGGGTTTTTATGTGTGTTTCAGTAGCCTGGCTGCTCATTAAGAAGACATGAGATGCTGTGGAGGAGAACGACATGTATGCTGTCCTCTAGAATAAAACCTGCTAGGTTGAACTGTAGGTCTGCTGGCATTGGCGTGCTTCAGTTTGATTACATACTGGTATGTGCTGAATAGGAGACCATAAAAATCTCAGAATGAATCAGTCCAGGTGACCGTTACAAGATTGCTTTCCTGTTCTGTGGTGGGGATAAAGATTTAGAGTGCTTGTATGTCAGAATAAGTGGATTCAGAGGCCGTAAACTTCAGGATGGATTTAGAACCAGGTGGTTGTAGCAGTTGAGCCTTTTGGTGAGTGGTGCAGGAGGTCGAAAGCTACAGAAGAGCTGGTCTTGCTTACTGATCATTTTGCAAATCACAGTTTAGCCTTTGGTTTCAAACCGGGGATGTGGTTGATCTTATGACAATGCTCCAAACTGTTGATAAAAGGCAAAAGAGGTGGATCAGACAGTTCTAAGGTGTATTTTATAGGTAGCTAGAGGTTGTAGGCAGGATGTAAGGAGCGAGTAACTTAAATTAGTGAGATCACGTCCCTTCAAACTGTAGTAGGTAAGTTCAGAGTTATCATCAGAAGTTAAATACTTGTAAATATCTAACAGTGGAGCTTGTATGAATGATTATGCTGATCAGAAAATGAGTATTAAAGTATTTTTTATGTTTTCTACTTGCAATGTCACTGCCAACGGAGATGTTTACCAGAGTTTGGTTTGTAAATGTAGTTTGTGCATTTTTACATTGAGGTACTACTTTGTGCTGAGTGAAACGTTTTTCTTCTGTATGGATAATTTGTAGCTTACTTATTTTTTTGTGTACTGTTAGAAATATTGAACTTAAAAATGGATCACAGCACCACTGCCCTGTACTGCATTAATTGTTAATAGTGTGTATATCTGTTTGCATGTCACCCAGGGCTGTTAACATAAATGCCTCTAACCAGTGCCTACAGCTTGTGTTCAAGGTCAGACTTGGTCAGCTCACGCTGCCTTGGCTTGCAGGCTGGCTTGAACAAGCTCTTTCCAGGTGGGGAAACATGAGTATGGAGCAGAGGAGAGCTCAAGCGCGAGCGCAGGCATGAGCAGGTCCCCACTGGCTGTGCAAGCACAGTGTGCCTGGGCAGAACCCAGCCCAGCCTGGGTCCGGCTGCATCTTCGCCTTAGAGACTCCTCTTATCTCACTTTTATGGTGGAGGTGGCTGGTAAAGTTTTAAAGCATCTCAGATGCAGTATGGTGGGTTGGACTACCTGACCTTTGAAAGGTCCCTTCCAACCTGTACTATTCCGTGGTTCTGTGTTTTGTTGTCCTGATGCATACACTTTATTTTCAAGCAATAATTCTTCCATGGTTAGGAGCAGAGCTCCCTGAGCTGCCTCAAGTAATTAGTTGTAATTTTGACATGAGACCTCTGCAGTTTTCTTCCACATTGTTGACTGCTCCTGTCTTTCCTCCAAGTGCTGTTTTATTAATGTCTACAGTTGCTGAGTCTTCTGTCATGTAACTGCATAATAAATACTAAATGTATGAGGTATGAGAAGTAGAACAGTTTCGGAGGGTGACCATGCAGTCTGCTTTTGTAGATAGGGTACAAACGTGTCTTTTGGTGTGTAGACTTCTCTCCACCTCCTCCTACTCTCCTGCTCTCATAATCACTTGTACTTTGCACATGTATTCATCTGTTCCAGTGTCTGTTTGAAGAGCAGTCCTGGTTCCTCTCTCCAGTCAGGTTATATACGTGTTTCCTACAGCACAGATTTGATCACCTTTAGACCCGATGTCTTGTTGGATGTTCTTTGTGAATGGAAATACCTGTTCTTACCCCTTATGGTAAAATATTAATCTGTGATTCATTTTCTCTTTTTACACTTATGATGTAGCACTCAGTGAGCAAATTCTTTTACAAATCAATAATATTAATATCAATAATATTAATATCAATATCAATAAAAATTCAGAGCTGTTTATCAGTTTAAAAACTGTGCACCTAGAGATGTTTTATGTCCATTCTTCAAGATAGGTATGAGAAGACTTGCTTGCCTTGTTTGGTTTTCAGTGTAGTGCTAGTTATGGCTGATTTTGGGGCCTCTCATTCGAGGAGTGATGGACAGTGGAGTCCTGGGGTCATGGCTAAAATGCCACATCTGTTTCTCTAGAGAAACGCAACAGCCAGACCTTGATTTAATCTCCCTGCAGTATAATCTCAGAGACTTCCCTG